TAATATTATGTAACATAAAAAATATTTTAAATGTCACTAATAAGAATAATTAAACTCATAATATTGGAACAATAATAAATTGATTCAACATCTCCAATCCCACAAACTAACTTATATCATAGCATATTTATTAAAACCTTATTAATATAAGAAAGAAAATGTCAAACAATGATAAGTTTCTTAATTATTATACAACACTAAATCATATACTGCCAAAATTGAAAGGATAAAATTAATAATATTAGAACTATATACCACATAAACAAATTTTATGTAATACCACATAATTAATTTTTTAAAAAAAATGTTTGATATATAATTCTTATTATACTTTTTTGTAATAAATGCTTTTTTTATAATCAAGAAAAAATATTTAAAATATTTATGTAGTATTACATAAAATTTATTTATATGGTACATATTTTAATTATATTATTTTTATTCTTATAATGTTGGCAAATATAATTTAATTTTTATATAATTAAGAAAATTGCTTTGTAATATTAATATGATGATAGTATGTATATAATTTCTTTTTTTTTTTTTGAAATACTACTGACTCTATTACAATGTAGTGTTCACTACCACTGAGGCTCAAACTCACAACCTCCCACAAAGGGGAGCAATTTGGTGCCAGTTAACTACAAGGTCCTTGGCATGATAGTATATGATTTAGTTTTGTATATAATTAAGAAAATTACTTTATAATGGTTTCTTTCTTATATTAATATATTTTAATAAATATTGTAAAATTAAAAGTTATAATGTAATAACAAAATTGTGCAATATTCTTATGAAAAAAGGTAGAATCGCCCACCGCAAGTACAGTTTGTGTAGAGATAAATTATATTCTGCAAGCCCAGTTTGTATAGGGATAAATTATAATGACTTAACTGATCAACAAGATTAATGTTGCTCACACATTGTCGCTGATGAGACTCGGTCTTTAATCTCTTATAACAAATTTTATTTTTGTGACCAATTGCGGTATCGATGTCAGCAATTGCGTAGTACTCTCATTTGACTATTTGAGTGGTGTGCGTGAGGTCTCTCACACCAATTAGAAATAGAATGAACACAAAATTTCCCTTTTTGACTATTCAAGATGTGACATTTCAACCAGCGGTTGGTCAATGAAAAGGTCAACGCCTAATTATTGTGCAAACGATAAGTGCATTTTTAATAAATAAAATTCATATACATGATTTATTGAAAGGATAAAAGGAAACAAACAAATTGTTATTCACTTTTTTTATTGAATCAATCAGGAGCGTTATGTTGTGCAACCGTGTGCATCATGCATGGTACACACGGTTACAAAAACAACGTCATTTTGACGTCCGACTTAAAAAAAAAAAAAAAAAAAAACAGTTTCGATTGCTATTAATGGCGTTATTTTGTGCATAATTTGAATTATATAGTTCATTTATTCTGAATATATAGTTCATTCATTCTGGATATATAGTTCAAATTATGCACAACATAACACCGTTAACAGCAATCGAAACTGATTTTTTTTTTTTTAAGTCGGACGTCAAAACGATATCGTTTTTGCAACCGTTGTCCTTTTTGCAACCGTGTGCACCATGCATGGTGCACACGATTGTACAGATAATTTGCCAATCCATCAAAGTATTTTATACTGTATCAACAAAGTTAAAAATTTGTAACAAAAAATAATAATAAATGTAATATTACGTACTTTTTTTAAACTGTATACTAGTTACTTTTTTTTATTCTCCATATTGCGACATTGTTATATTTAGTCATATTCTTTTAATTTCGTCACATTACATACTTGACTTTTATCTCTTTGTCACAATTAGTCCTTTAAATTTTTGTCATTTCATCATTTAATAAAGAAGTATTATTCAAAGTGGTACCAAATTGCTCTCCTATATGGGAGGTTATGAGCTCAAGCCTCAGTGGAGACAGCACTAACTCTTTGTGCTTCAATAGTATTGAATGATTAAATAACAGCTTTTTTTTTTTATTTTAGAATTATTTATTGAACAAATATAGGCCCTGTTTGGTAAATGGCTGTTAGTTGGTTGAGTTAATTAAATGGTATGACTAGTTGAACAAATATAGGCCCTATTTGGTAAATGGTTGTTAGTTAGTTGAGTTAATTAAATGGTATAACTAGTTGATAACATTAGCTGATTGTAGAAAGGTTAGTTGGTTGAGTTAATTAAATGGTATAACTAGTTGATAACATTAGTTGATTGTAGAAAAATGTTTGGTAAATTAGTTGTTAGTTGGTTGAGTTAATTAAATGGTATAACTAGTTGATAACATTAGTTGATTGTAGAAAAATGTTTGGTAAATTAGTTGTTAGCTGATAGTTGTTTGGTATAACTTCTTGTCGCAAAAAGTTAATTGAAAAAATTATTTTGAGCAGTTTTTTAAATTTTAGCATTTTTGAGTTACAAAAAGCTAATTAATTAACCAAACACTTATATTAATTTTTTAACCAAATCAAACAATTAATAGTGGTCAAATAAGCCAAAATTGATTAATAGACTAACTATTTTACCAAACAGGGCCATATTAATTTATTATTGTGATGTGAAAGTAAGATCGCTTTTGAAAGTATAAGTATTACAGGAATGTATAAAACATAGTGAATAAATTACAGATTTGATGATGTAAAGATAGAGTCTACTTTTGAAAACGAGAGAGTATTTAAGAGATAAGTTGATAAGGATAGCGTAATAGTAACATTAATTTGTTGACATGGGCACATGCAAACCATAATGGAAAGGATGGGCACCCACCATTTCTTGCAATGGATGGATTATTGTGCAAATGCTTTGCATTCAAGCTGAAAAGACAATCATTAAACCCAAATTAAAGCTCTTTAGTTTTTATCTTTATACCCTGGCGCAGCTGCTGTGTAGATACAGAAAGCTAGCAGCCATGTAGCTTAGACATTATCATGATACTTGGATGAATTATGAGTGTGGGGTTGAAGAAGGAATTGGGGGTGGGGGGTGGGGGGTGGGGTGGGGAGGGGTCTGTCTATTACTCCAACCCTCAATTCTCAGGCCAACTGAAAATGAAAAAGATCTCTGTCGGATCAGGGTGTGAAAGGCTTTTAGAGTTAGGGATTCAATCATTTGGGAGAAAAAAATGGGAAAGATGAAGCAAAAGTTATTTAGCTTTGATGGCCGTGTACTCATCATGACCTTTCGCATGGATTTGGATATCCTTGAAAGATGTATTTCGTCTGATAGTTAGACTACAAATTTATTATGGTCAACAATCAAATTTAACAATTATTAAGGGTGTTTGGTAAATAACTATTAGATGTTAGTTGATTTAGTGGGGTTCTCAAAAAGCTGATTTGACCAACTTTTGTAATTTTAGCATTTTGGAGTAATAAATTGTTATAAAAAGCAAATTAATCAAACACATATATGCAATGTTTAATCAAATCACGCAACATAATGATCAAATAAGTCAAAATTAACCGATAAACTAATTATGTTACCAAACAAAGCAGAATATGCAATGGAACATGATTCACCTTGTAATCCACAGTATAATTTGCACAAATTTGGTGAAACAAAAGTTTGGCCTGTTAATTTCTAGCTGTTCTTTCTGGATAAGTGTCTACCTGAGCATAGTCGATAGTCCCTTTTTTTCTCCACTAATCTATATCTATATCTATATCTATATAATAACAAAAATACTAATAAAATTTTTTAAGCACAAAGAGTTTGTCCAATCATTTCTATATAAATACACTATATTTCGCTAATAAATGGTATCAATATTAATTTGTGCTAGTAAATGGTTTTGTTCTAATTTTCGTATAATATATAAATTATACTCCATAAAGAGATTTTTTTTTTTTTAATACTATTGACTCTATTACAAGGTAGTATATGTTATATACTTTCTTTAACTATTGCAACCCCAAGAGTCAATACCTCACCATCGAAGTTCGATCTTGTGACCTTTCCTCAAGGGGAGCTACAGAGGTGTCATTTGAGCTAGATAAAAATGGAACGTAAAACTTGTTATTTAGAATTTCAAATTCATGTTCCTAGATTCCAAGACTTTTGCTAATAGAAGTTTAATTGTAAGATTTGAAAAGAAAGTAGTTTTTTTTTTTTGTTGTGACGAGAGAAACCCACTGCCGCTACTCGAGGGTATGCACTGGGTAAACTCCGTCTTGTGACCCTTAACCGACAAAGGATCACAAGTAAACTAACCTAGGTTGTCCATAGCTAACCAGCTCAAACCAAGAGTGCTTGGATTCGAATTCGTGACATTGTTGATTACAAATTCGTATCTTTAACCATCTTTGCAAGAGTTGTCCCAAAGAAAGTAGTTTTTTTATTCATAAGGGTAGTCATCAAATCAAGCCAAATCAAATATCATGTTTGAATAAAACTTGCTATATTGACAAGGGGAGATTGGAAAAGCATATCAAAATCATGCTACCTTTGGAATTTCTGTCCATTTTCAAACCATTTTCTCCCTCACTTCATTGAACCAATAGTTTCATAACTCAAAATCATACCAAGAATGGGAACGGAGGGAATCCTCGCAAACTTATTTTAGAGCTTATAGCTTATTTTAAGCTACAAATAAACTATAAGCTCTATTTGGTAACTACTAGCTTTTAAGCTTTCAGCTTTAAACTAGCTTATAAGAAGTGACAGATTTAAAGCACTTCAATACTCATATCATCAACGAGGGAGACAAGGATCACACCTGTTCCGGTTGCAAAGAAACTTCACCCAAATCTTGAAAGGAACCAGAAATGCGTCCACCCATCACTGAATCTGGTAATGAAATGCTGATGCCAAAAACATAAAGAGTTAGAACGAAAACGAGTCTACAATCCATGAATATGTTGCCCAGGAGTCTCATATGAAACACAACTGAGAGATACAAAAACAATCTAGTTCTAGTCTAGTATAATAAAGTTTGTCATCAGAAGATACTAAAAAAACCCAATGTAAATGGTTTCCATTTTGTCAACCTCATCCAAAAAGCCAAACAAAAGCTATTATACCATATAGGGAGGCAAAAGAAAAAGGACTTTTGAGAATCTAAAAAAGCTATATATTTTTGTTACAGTATTAGTTGAAAGGCTATATTGTACACCAACTTGATAAGAGTAACAACTCCCGAGGCCCAACTAATTTCCCACCCACATTCCATTGGTTGAATGTAGATGCACGAAAAGCACGTTACTATAATCTAAAATTCTATGGTGCATTGCTACAAGCACGAAACGTGAGTAAACAGTATACCGGGCAGCTGACTAAAAGTTGCCAAGAGAGATTTTTACTTATCGACTGCCATAGAGTGGACTCGTGAAAATTTTATAAGTTGAATACCCGTAGAATGGGGAAACATTAGAAGCCATCTGCACTGTTGTCTTTCAATTCTGAACTTGGACCGTCATCGAAACCCGAGCCCGGGGCGAGCTCATTGAGATCAAGAAAGCGCCTCTTTCTTCCTCCGCCTTCAACTTCGTCTTGATCTGTGCTATTTGATATTTCGGGTGCATTTGCTTGCTCTGATGTAGTCCCGGTCGCCACATTAACAGATTGATCGGCTTTCCCGTCCTGATTATCGTTGTTTTCCTCGGACTCGGTACTTCCGGTTGAAAATTCAGCGTTATTATTATAATCAAGACCATTATAGTACTCCTCTGAAGAGTTCGACTTCTCGGGTTTCACTGGCTCCATCTCTGATTCTGACAGCTCATACTGTCTATAATCGGGTGCATTTGCTTGCTCTGACGCAGTCCCGGTTGCCACATTAACAGATTGATTGGCTTTCCCGTCCTGATTATCACTGTTCTCCACAGACTCGGTACTTCCGGTTGAAAATTCAACGTTATTATAATCATAATCATCTGAAGAGTTCGACTTCTCAGGTTTCATTGGCTCTGTCTCCGATTCTGACAGCTCATACTGTCTATAATCGATACTGTTTCTAGTTGCCCTTCTACTACGCCTCAAACCTGATTGAAGCTCACCGGCAGACCTCAGTTTAGTTTCTCTTCGAGTGCGGCCCACCCGTAATCTTTTTAGTCTTCGGTGCTCCCCGCTGTCCTCGCTGGCACTAAAGGAGTCATCTCCATCCTCCTCCTCCTCCTCTTCTTCTTCTTCTTCTTCGGGATTTTCTTCATCCCATTTGTACTCTTCATCGCCTTCCGAGCTACTAGAAGCCATACGCCGCTGTTTTCGTCTCCTTAAATATTCGTCATCGTACACTACTTCACCAACTATATCATCATCGCTGTTGAATTCCGTCTCGTTATCAGATACAGCTTCAACAAACTCTTTTGCAGAATAGCGTTGGGGTCTCTGCCTTCGTCGGTTGCTATACACAGCGAGACTAGTCAGTCTTTGTTCATTAGCGAAAAGTAAAAACAGATATCAATACAGGAAAGCACGCAGTACCCGCGATCCAATGGCTCAGCTTTGTCGTAGTCATCATCGTATTCATCATACTCGGGTGACTTAGGTGACCGTACTTTGAAGGACACGTGTCGAAATTGAGGACCTCTCGATATACCATTTGCAGGAGCTTCACGTTTCACAGGGGATGGCTGTTTCTCTCTGAGGATAAAGAAAAAACAACAAATCTGTCGGCACAAAAGATTGAATTCAACCAATTAGCTAGTCTAACCCATGGACTTATAAACCCATATGCTCTCACTTATTTTATCAATGTGAGACACTCTTAACAAAAAGAAGGGGGATAAAAGGTACGGGGAAGTAAAGGGGGACCTAAAACGAGCACAAGTAGAGAATTTCAAGGTCATAAGATCAATACGTGGTTACTTTGATAGCCTCATTAATTGATCGATCATAATCATCTGCAAGACAAGCAGCACACAATTAAACGTCCGGTGATACTAAACCACACATGAGAAACCTCTACCGTATTCTTAACCGAACATGAGAAATCTCTACTGCATTCCACCTACCAAAACTATAGGTCACGGGCTTTCTACCACGAAGGGAACGTCCAGCAGTAAAACCATCAATATTCATCATACTGTCAAGCAACAAAGCTTGTCTGTGCTGTTTCTTCAACAATTTCTCTTTTCTCTGCAAAAAAAGAGATAACTATAGTACAGAAAAGTAACACAAAACAGGTAGTATTGAGGCAAGAAATTGAACCCTACCTTGTGGACCTTCTCAATCTCATGAAGCATGTTATTTTTCAACTTTTTCCCAACAGAAACCTCGGTTCTATTGCTACTTACAAATAGCTTCTCCTGTAGAAAAAGGTAACCTACTGAGCAATGAGACGGGAATCATTGGAAAAGGAAAAAGGGAGAAAAGCGAAAAGGGTAAAAGTTCAGAAGGGAAGTGGACTGATCAACAACTTATGCATAAACATAATATAGATATAACCCAGTAACGGAACTATGAAGACTACGATATTAATAAGCTATGACTTATGGTGTCAAGGATTTGCACAAATTAAATGGTGGCAAAACAAAGGGTTTGAAGAAAATGTAGAGTTTTCCAAATTTCTTTGTTATGTTGGAAAACTGTTCTCTAAATACAGAACAGTTGTATTTTCTAAAATGGAAAACTGTACAAGTAAACATGTTTTCTGTTCCCTTCAAAAAAAAAAAAAAAAAAAAAAAAAAAAAAAAAAAAAAAAATGTTTTCTGTTCTCTAGTTTTCTATTTATCTAGAAAAATGGAAAATTTCTCCATTAAATGCACCCTAAGTAAGAGCACATAATTGCTCCAATTGACTCTCTTTTTCTCAATCAACCTCTTTTCATTCAACCCTAACATTAAGCCTTACACCCTTACATCCTTTCTATTCTGTTTGTCAGCTGTAAATGCTATGGAGTAATATTATTGGCATCCATATACTATATAATTAGCATCAATCTACAGTTTGGAGAGACAATAAAATGGAAAATCAATCATATTTATTGCAGACAAAGAAAAAAACCGTTACAAACTGTTAAGAGTCCTACATTGATAAATAAGAGAGAACATATGGGTTTATAAGGCCATGGGTTAGACTAGCTAATTGGTTGGATTCAATCTTTTAGTGTGGTTTGACCCAGGTGCATTATAGCCCAGTTGAGTGACCCTGGCCCAATCTTAGTTTATAACACAAACAGAAGAAACAAAGACCAATATTGTGGCTCTATTAGTTACTGTCAGTAGAAAACCTTTCTGCTTGAAACAAAATTGTTCAAGATAAATCCAGATATGAAAGGTAGTGCCTTTAATTTTGTGCTTACATCCAAATAGAATGAGGAATATCTTTTCTTTGTTTATAAGTTAATGGAATATGAAATATCTTAGGTGAATCAAGGAGCTTTCCATTTTCAATTCTGCATTCTAGTTCATGATAAATATAGAAAACGGGCATTCATCATTCATATTTTCTTTAAATGGCAATGATAAAATACAAAGTAACTTACAGAGACATCCTGGAATTCATCCAAATTAGTCGCAGCAGTTTCCCACTGGTAACATGAGTTATCAATAGGCTGAACATTTTTCCCCTTTCCTTTCTTCGCCTCAACTTTTCTGATCTCACGGTATAATCGATGACCAATGATGGGATCATCTTCATACCTAAATTACAACAGGATGTAGCTGAAAAGCTTTCACATCTAGGTAACAGATGGCATTTAAAACAAGAATAGATGTCCTCTAATGCAACAAGAAAATTTCCCGAGGCATATTCTATTGCAACGAACATATAAAGTTAAGCAAGCAAAATACTAACCAATAAGAGATTCCATGTGAATCACCTCCGATTCGTTCTTTGCGAAACACAGAAAGTTGAACGCCTTGTTTTAATGAGTTATCAATATAGTTACGAATATCCTCTTGCTGCAAAACGATATTGTTGGAATTTCAGATCATTACTAGTACTAATAACAGTAAATTAGGATAAAAAGGGGGAACGCAGTCAAGGTTACAGAACTATTCAGGCTGATACACAACGTTTTATCAATTTGCTAAAGTTCCAGCTCGGAATCCTCCACCACAAAGTTTCAGTTATTGATTTACTGTGATTCTGTTCTTTTAAACTTTCAATTCCGGGGAAGGAAAAAAAAAAAAAAAAAACCTTATGCACACATAACAGATTTTTTTAAATTTGCTTTTCTTTTCCACTGAATTTCACGCCCCAAATGGTGCCTCAAGATTCTTGATGGTGCACAGAGAATAAGAAAAGGCATGAAATTCAACCAAATAAATAAACAACCCAATACACTTCCAATTAACTGTAAGGCCATATTTTTTTGAAAAATGTTTTTCTTTTCCACTAAATAAATTTATCCTAAGATTTCATATCTGGAGTTTTGAACAAAAAATAAATATAAACAACCCAACCAAATAGGAAAAGATTTTTATGAATCATTGTTTGCAAGATTGCATCCACCCAAATGGATAAAACATATCCCAGCAGTATCCTTTTATCTTCCCTCTAAATCTGCATTTTCAATGAATATCTAACACAACCAATAATCACTATACTACAAGAATAGATCATCAATCTTTAATAAATCAATAACAAAACCTTATATAAATAGCAAATAACTTAGAGCAGTAAGAAATTGAAAGCCAGATATATGTTAAACTCTACCTCAACACGAATGTCACATAATGCTTTCAGAATAACCACACGAACAGCAGGATCAAGTGCACTGTATGCATCAATTTCAGCCCTAAAATTTCAGAAAAATTCAAAAATAACCAAACTTAATTTGTTAAATAATAAAGACTAAATACGTTTGAATTTGATTTGCAATGCATGATCACTCACCCATGTGATGCTACGATAGGTAATTCCCCCTCTGCAACCTGCAATGCATAAAATGAATAAACGGTTAGCACTTCAGATACAGTTTTTCTCAACTTCACTTCTCAGAGCTGCAAGTAACTTACCCAGTGCCACCAATCTCTTAATTTTCTGCACAAAACAGTTACCCAAGTATTGTATCCAAGCGCCACTCGTGCAACAGGAGGGATTGCCTATGGAAGTGAAATAAATAAAATAATAAGCATTGCCTGTTAGCAATTTAGCAATGCAGAGAAAAGCACAAGTGTCTAAATCAGTATCCAAAAATAGCCAAAACTCAAAGTTACCACCTATCGCTGTGCCTTTAAATGGAAACTTAGTAACAAAACTCATGCATCCATTTTGACATGGTTACATGTCTGTCACCTCCTAAAATCAAACTACTAAGTTCAATAATTTCATAGTTGAATAATAGTTGCTTATCAATTACCACAGAGCAATCAAACTATAATTACAACAGTTATTACATAAACACAACAGCAATGCCTAATTATTAAAATCTTTTTCAACTTTGTATTCTAGTTTTCTCCAAGCCTTATAAATGTGTCTACACACACACACACAAATAGTTCTACAAAAATGACCTCTATCCTTGTTTGTTGCTAGGTTGATAAGAGCAAATGAACAATGCTTAAATAGTTAAATGACTTAAATCTAGCAAATTTGACACCCACCAACATATACTTTAAAGAAACTAGGATAATGGCCAAATGGTTACATAGATTTCAATTCCTTATTTGAGATAAGAGTCCAAACAACAGTTTCTAACAGTCAAAAGGCTTGATGATAGAATGAAACATATCATATCATACATGAATTTCCCCCATCTATCAACCGCTTTGTTGCACCATAGACAAAACAGAAAATAAAGTAGCTTTTCTATGTATACTCATCTTTTCAACCCTGAAAGGGACTTATAAAAATCCACAAGCATAATCGTTGAAAGTAGCAAATAGAAGTTGCAGTTTTAGTCACCACCAATAACATTCATGTTCAGTGTACTGTTAAGACTTAAGACATATTATCTTCAGTGGGTTGTACAAAAGCTTTAATTTTTCATAATTCCTAGATTCAATACACATCATGGTCTCTTTCTGCAAGACCACCATCAAAACCACAACCGCCGCAAGTAGTAAACATTAATTAATGACATTTGAAGAAGGGAAAATGAAATCTTTACAAATATTGTCACTCCAAATAACAAAAGGCACCACAAACACAGAATAATAAGAACAATTTCTTTATCTTCCTCGTGAGTTGCAAGGATGCAATACATTAGAGAAAAATACAATAGTCACCATACAAGAGATGCCCACAGTCCTAAAAAAGTTGGCATATCATTAAAAAGAATAGAAACTAAAATCACCATTGGTACAAAGTTAGATAGCCTCAATTTAGAAAACCAACTTTTTTTTCCTTTTAACAACAAAAATGCACTAACCTTCAATAGTGGCATGTGTATATCAGCTAGTGTACTATTTGGCATGATCAATGCTGTTTCAAATTCCTCAACTGAGAACTCCACTTTAATGTTCAACAACGGCCTGAAAATCTAAAACCAGAACAGCAAGAACACATTAGCTTCAAACCACCAAACTTAACAGTAAAGTCACAAATTTTCTCAACTTGAGACATACATTCAAGAAATTCAGTATGGAAGCTAACTGCCACATGGACCGGAGCTTCCACCGTGGCAACTGTGATGCCTCCGGCTCTGCAACCAAAGGAGTAACTATCTTACTACACTGCTGCTTAGACGACTTGGACAACCCATCCTCCTCTTCCTCTTCCTCGCCCCCATTCATCTTCTCATCCTCATATTCCTCCTCCTCATCCTCCTCCTCCCTGAGCAGCCTAGCAGCCAACCTCTCCTTCCTAGCTGAAGTCTTCTTCTTACGCTGCCTCACTGCGGCCTCCGCCTCGGCAGCAGCAGCCGCCTGCAGCCTCGCGGCAGCGCGTTTCGTGCACTCCCTCGCCGGCCTCTCTCTCCTAACTACAAAATTGTTGTTACTACAGTCACTGTTCCGTTTACTTAGCTTGCTATTACTGTGGTTACTGTTAGCAGTCTTGTCACCGGGATTCTGTTGGATCGGGGATGAACCGGACATGGCGAGATCAGAGAGGGGATTGTCTACGGAGGGTTTAGCAGAGAGATCATGAGGTCGCATTGAGAAAAGAAGGACTCTTTTCTATTGCAAGAACAAGAAACAGAGCTTTTTCGGCAAAGGGTTTCAGAAATTATCGCGAAAATTTGTAATTTGTAATAAAATAAAAATAAAAAATATTGCTGTTAATACTCCTTATTTTATGAGTAGGGTAAAACTGCAGAAATACATTAAGATTTAAGACAACATCATTCGATAATACGAAACATGGATACTATAATTCTGATAAATTTTTAAAAATAAATAATAAAAAACGAAGTTCAGCAGGTTTCTAGTGGGTGTTACACTGTTCTTGGGGTTTTGGACTTTTGGGGCAAAACTGCAAAAGAGACACTGGATTTTCTTGAAGAGACAGAGACAGAGAGAGAGAGAGAGAGAGAGAGAGAGATGGTGAAATTTTTAGAGGGTTTGGTAGGGAATTGAGAATTCCTTGGAGAGGAGAAGAGGGACCAATTTGGCAGTGTCGAGGGTTTCCACTTTCCAGTGAAACAGAGGAATGGGAGAGCGACAAGATTTGCAGATTTGTGGATTATACTATCAAATAATATACATTCAGTATATAAATAATATATTAAAAATCTAAATTGTATTCTGAAAAAATATATTATTTGAATGCTAAAAATATATGGAGTATTATTTTATATAATGTACATTCAGTACATAAATAATGTATTTTTAATATATTAAAAATGTACTTTTTGTTATGATTCACATAATACTGGTCCACACAATAATTTGTTAGGGAGCAAAAGACATTGTATGCTAACAGTGCACCTTGAATTTTACAAAGAGTTTTTTCCATTTTAATCATATGACTTTAGAGTCTCCGTCAACTTGGGTTCACAACTTTCATTCCCGACATAAGATGTGTTTTCATTTTGATTTTCTTTTTTAAATTTAGTCTTTCTGACGACATGATCAATAAAGACTCACCGAAAGTACCATTTCAGAGTCAAACCCGACATAAGGATGGATTAAATCACATCCAATTCACCATCTCCTAAGATTCTTACAACTCATGCAAAAGATCATATCGTCATATTTCTCTATTGTGCTTAATGGCCACATTAATCAGCTAACATGTTGCAACTCTATTTTATTATTCCCTATATATGTGATGAATTTTCACCTCTCATTATTGTTGGTCTAAGGCTTTCATGTATTCCTCAATAAGATTTCTCAACAATCATAGTATTTATAGTTGTACAAACATTGAGTTAGGATTAACTTGTTCTATATTCAATAACATTTCACGTATTTTGGTTTTCTATAGTGATGAATGCATTTGCACTTGAAATGTGTGATTATAAATAGACATATATGGGTAGTGCTAAAACTACTGTGGAAGATATTACAATTTACAACCAAAGTGACTGATGGATATATTAGACCCGGAACGAACCGACCCGGAAAGACGGACCCGAGAAGTCTCGGCCCAGTCAAGTGGGCCGTGGCCGAGTCGGCCCAAGGCATTTCGGCCTTGGGCTGTGGCCGAGTCGGCCCAAGGCATTTCGGCCTTGGGCCGAGTCCGGCCACGAATGGACTCGGTACACCCGAGCCCATCACCTTGGACTCGGCTAGGCCGAGCTCGACACGTGCCCAGCTCGGCCATGCCGAGTCGGTCCGCCTTGGACCCGGTCCCGGAGGGGACGCGGTCAATGCGGACCGATCCAACTAACCCCGATCCTAGGGGTGCGGTTGGGGGGTTTGAGCTGATATAAAAGGACTCCCTCTTGTCCTAACAAGGGACCTGATCATTACACAACACAATAGATTCCTGAATTGCTATCTTCTAGCCTTATTGTCCTAATCAAGCCTTGTAATAGCTTATTAGCGATAATTAATACAATATACGGTCCCTGCGACCTACGGTCCCTGCGACCTTATTATATCTTTGCGTCGTATTATTTATTTCGTACGTATACTTATCCGGGTTTAATAATTCGGGCTACCTCCGGAGAATTAAATCCATCATTGGTGCTCTTGTTGAGAGCTGCTGTACAAGCTTGAGCGCTCTCCCTATTATCATTCATCCACAGCGATGACGAGATCGAGATCCAACTCTCGCCACACCAACGGTTCCCGCGGCAGCAAACGGGAACGGCCCCAACAGGGCCCCCAGCGTCCAACCGGCCGCCTCCAACAGGTCGGGAGGAGACCTGAGGGCCCAGCTCACCAACCACCGCAGCAGTGGTGCACCACCCCCCGTGGCTCCCGCTGCTACGGCTCCCGCTACCGATCCAACTCACGCCCTCATCCAGGAGGGGGTGGCGGTCTTCGAACAAGCCTCCACGGCACTGGCCCGTGTTGCGGCGGGCCTCCGGGCAGAGGAACAAGCCGACCTAGGTGCCACCCAAGGGGGCGTGCCGCCGAGCGCCATACCGCCTCCACCTCTCTCCCGGGGGCGCAACGGGCCGAGCGTCGTGCCACCTCCGGCACGGGCCACACAAGGAGAAGTCAACTCCCCCCGCCCGACGGACAGACGAGGAGGAGGGAGCTCCCGCCGATACCGTCAGCACGGTGATGATGGAAGGGCCCCAACCCAAACCAGGCCCGCCCTGGAACGGTTGGGCGAGCGCGTGTCGGCACGGGACAGGTTGGGTCCGAGGCCGGCCGCCAATGACCCACCAGCGGCCGAATCGGGCTCCCGCAGGCCGCCACGACAAGCGGCGGGCACTCGGAGGTCGCCAAGTCGCGGACCCCGAGCTCAACCGCAACAGGAGGCGGGCTCGCTTAGATCCCCAGACCGTGAGACCCGAGCTCCCCCGCGACGCGGACAGCCCGCCCGGGTGGAGCGAACAGGGGAGACAAACGGCCGAGTCCCGAGCTCCAACCGGGACGAGGTCGAGCAGTTACGGAGAAGGATGGACGAGCTCCATAAGAAGTTCGATGAAAGGGACGGGTCTTCAGAGTCCAATGACATACTGTCCACCCCATTCGTGAGTTCTATCATGGAGGAACCCCTGCCCAAGGATTTCCGTTTCCCCACCGTCAAAGCATACTCGGGAACCACAGACCCGCGGTCGCACCTCACCAGGTACAGGGCCGCCATGATGATTACCGAGGCTACCGACGCCATCCTATGCAGGGGATTCTTTGCCACTCTGGACGGACAGGCACATGACTGGTTTGGGTCCCTCCCAGGGGGATCCATCTCCACCTTCAAGGACCTAACCAAGCAGTTCCTGTCCCACTTCGCTACCAGCATACCAAGGAAGAAGTAGATTGCCGACCTGTGCGACCTGAAACAGAAGAGCTCGGAGTCATTAGCCGAGTATCTCAATAAGTGGAAGAAGGAAGTCATGGGAGTCGCCAACTTCGATGGTAAGTCGGTTATACCAATTTTCAGGAACAATGTGAGGTCGGGTGCTTTCCACCAGGATCTCATCCGGTACCCCCCAAAGAACTATGCCGACCTGATGGACAGGGCGGCCAGATATGCTGACGCCGAAGCTGCCGAGAGGAGAAAAAGGGAGCAGGAAGAAGGGAGAGGTCGGAAGGACAAGGCCCCCCAGGAGGAACGCGGCAGGGCATCTCGGCAGCATCGTCGTGACTACGCCGAGGGGCCCAGGCTGAACCCCACACATTTCCTTACCCCGCTGACGCACCCCGTGAGTGTTATCCTAGCCCACGCAGAGGACCAGGGGATCGTCGAGTTCCCAAAGGAGGAGTGCATGAAGATCTCGGCGAAGGGCGACCCCAAGAAGTAATGCCGGTTCCATCGCCAAAAGGGTCATGACACGGATGAGTGCATCCTCCTGAAGAAGCAAATTGATGAGCTCATCCAGATGGGTTACCTGGGCCACTTCATTAAACGGCCCAGCCAACCCCAAGGCCAGGGCTGGGACAACGTATGGAAGAAAGGGAGCGGTGGCTCCGCGCCACCCAACCCGGCACCCCGCAAGAGAGAGCACGGCCAAAGCTCTGAAGAGGACGACAAGACGACAGAAGACTCCCAGCCCCCAAAGAAGCGGTCCATTTATGTCATTTTTGGAGGACCCGAGGGTGGCGACACCCAAGCCGAACGGAAGAAATGGGCGAGGAGTCTATACGTTGGGGAGGTAACACAAGCCCCACGGGAGAAGAAGCTACGAAGGGAACCCATCACCTTCACCGATGACGACTTGCCGGATGGTCCCCTACCACACCGAGATGCCCTGGTGATCAAGTTGGACGTCAACAACGTGGTGGTGCACCGAGTGCTCGTAGACACGGGCAGCTCGGTAAATGTCATGTACTACGACACGTTCGTCCAACTCGGCCTCCCAAGAGACCAACTGGAGCAGGTTAGGACCCCCCTATCCGGGTTCACGGGGGACTCGATCGAGACAGAGGGGTCGATCAGCCTAGACGTGGAGATAGGCACCTCACCTCACCTCAACAAGTGGAGGGTCGAGTTCGTGGTTGTAAAAATCAGCTGCGCCCACAACATGATACTTGGCCGACCTGCCCTAGAGGACCTCAGGTGCGTGATTTCCATGGAACACCTGTGTCTCAAATTCCCAACGCCGAACGGGGTCGGGACTGCCCGGGGGGACCAGAGGGTGAGTCGTAGCTGTTACCTATGGGCGTGCCGCCAGATGGGCAAGAAGGACCTCCGGGTCCACACCATAGCCGAGAAGGACTTACGAGACGAGACGGGTCGGCCTCGGGCCGAGCCCATAGTCGAGTCGGAGGAAGTCGTCCTGGATCTCAACCGACCCGACCGGGTCGTGAAGGTTGGGGTCGGCCTCCCGGATAAGCTCCGAGCTCGCATCATCGACACGATCCGGAGCTACAAGGAGATCTTCGCATGGGGCCCCGAAGACATGCCGGGCCTCAGCCGCGAGGTGATCACACACAAGCTGGCTGTGGACCCCTCGGTCAAGCCAGTCCAACAGCGGAAGAGGTACCTCTCCACAGACAGGAGGGAGTTCGTGAAAAAAGAGGTCGACACCCTCTTGGAGATAGGTCACATCAGAGAGGTCATATACCCCACCTGGTTGGCTAATGTGGTCCTCGCCCCGAAGCCGCCCACCTGGAGGATGTGCGTGGACTACACCGACCTCAACAAGGCCTGCCCCATGGACCCCTTCCCGCTTCCCAACATCGACCAGCTGGTGGACGAGACAGCAGGGTGTGCCCTCATGAGTTTCCTTGACGCATTCAGGGGGTACCACCAGATCTTTATGGAGGAAGCTGATGAAGAGAAGACGGCTTTCACCACTCCAGAAGGGGTCTACTGTTACAAGGTCATGGCCTTCGGCTTGAAGAACTCGGGTGCCACCTACACCCAGATGGTAGCCAAGGTGTTCAAACAAGTCCTCGGTCGCAACCTACAAGCTTATGTAGACGACATGATAGTGAAGAGCACCGAAGCCAACCTGCACACGGACGACCTAATTGAGGTATTTTCAATTATGCAACGTTTCAATCTGCGTCTTAACCCCAAGAAGTGCACCTTCGGGGTCCACGGGGGGAAGTTCTTGGGGTACATGGTTTCCAAGAAGGGCATAGAGCCC